GTGACCCTGGGGGGCAGTGAGAACAAAGTGAGGGGGAGGGGGGGCTGTCCAGCACGGGCCGGGGGTCCAGCGGGGGCCGCGTGACCCTGGGGGGGCAGTGGGAATGCACTGAGGGGGAGCGGGGTGGGGGCTGCCCTCCTCCCGGCAGAGCAGGGGCCCTGCTTCCTCCTGGCACCTCTGGACATACCTGAACTGCTGGGCCTCAGGGCTGGGCAGGCCAAGTGGGGCCACGGGCCGCCGCCGCACCCACACCAGCTCTTTGGCCACTGTCACGGGCACCAGGGCTCGTTGGAGATCAGGGTCAGGTTCAAGTTCAGGCTTGGCAGGGCTGCTTGAGAGGAGAGGAAGGAGGTGGCTACTGGGCCTTCCCACCCTCTGCCCTGGTCCCCATGTCCCCTCCTTGCCCTGCTACCTTTCAGGAGGACTTCCTGACATGTCTTCCAGGTGAGAAGCTTCCAGAAGGAGGGAGAGGTCAGCCTGAGGGACAAGGGGCTCTGGGTCACTCGGTCCTGGACTGCGGTCAAGTCCACTCTGCCTCAGTGACCCCATGTGTTGAGTGAAAATGTCCCACAGGGTCTGATGTGCAGAAGCTGATGGCCAGGCCTTTCTGCCCGGGCACTGCAGGAGGGCTCAAATGGTGCTTTGAACCAGTTCATGCCAGTTGCCTCCTGCTGGGAGCCTGCACTTCCCCACCAACCCATATGAAGCAACATTTTAACAAGACCCCCAGGTGATTCCTGTGCACACACAGGACCCTCGGGCTACATTCCAGGTGTATTTAAGCAACAGAGTCTGATGCGCCAGGGCCAACTCCTCCCCAGACTGGCCTTCCCCGGAATTGCCATGCTGCCGATGGATGCTGCTATGGGCAGAGACAGATGGGGGGTCCTGTGTAGGGGCACTGCTCAGAGTCTGGGGCGGGGGACACACACAGAAGGCTGTCCCTGGCCTGGGCGGGCGTGTGGGCACAGGTACACTGATGTAATCGAGGTGCAGCCGAGGGCCCCGGCCAGGCGGATGCTGTCCTGTGAGTGCGCGTGGCTGGGGTCCCCCGGGAACACGGCGGCCGCCCACTGGCCCCCAGGCCTCCCGCTCCGTGCTCATTAGCTGCAGCCAGAACCTTGTTATCTCTGGACCAAATGATTTTTCTCTGCTCGGCGGACGGGAGGGGGCTGGTGAGGGGCGAGGCTACGTCAGCCTGGGATGGAGATGGGGGGCTGCTCCGGGGGTGGGAGAGGTCGGGGTGACTGCCTACCGGGACTGGGCATTTGGCCTCGGCTGCCGCCAGCTCTCCCTCCTCTTCCTGCCTCCCTGGCTGCCTGAGGAGAAAGTCACAGTGGACACCCCCTTCTCCACTGGCCCCTCTTCTCTGGGGACAGGCTCCTGGGTGTAACAGTCCCCCTGAAGCATAGCATCTGTCTGTTTTGGGGGACTTTGCCACCCAATTATCTGAAAAGTCTGGGGCCCCCACAGCTCAGATGGCTCTCTTAGCTAGGATTTTCCCAACTGAGGGGTCAGTTCCCAGCCCTCTCAGCAGCCCCCAGCCCCGACCACCAGAGCCTGGGACCCTCTGAGAGCTCAGGCCCCTCTCCAGTCCAGGCCATGGCCCATGGAGTCTCATCTCACGAGGACCAGACCTCATGCTCAGAGCCCCCCGCTCAAGCAACCAGTGGTCATGTTCCCAGCCCCCTTCCAATCCCTCATGTCAAATGCGCACAGCCCACTCTCCACCCTGGCACAGCCCCTGTAATGAGACCCTGGGAAACTTCCCTATCACCGGCCACTGCCCTCCTTGGAGACCCAGCCCTCCAGTCATCAGCTCCAACAGCCCTGGGATAGAGCGAGTTGTTTCCTTGACCCTCCATCTGCCTTCTCCACCATAAGGGGCCCCCCAGCTTTTGCCTCTATCAGAAAACAGGGGTATGGTTCCCTTAAAGTGCTACCCTGGGACCCAGGGGTGTACCCCCATCTCTTGTTCCAATCAAGGACCAAGTCCCCATTTCAGGGTCCCAGGAACCCCACCTTCCTCACCCCCAGCATCCCAACCTGTGGTAACATACTGCAAACCCCATCTCCCAGAAACCTGGGGGGCCTCCCTGGCGCCAGCGCCTGCCACTGTCACCATCACTCCTGGCCAGTCCCTGGTGACGCAGGGACGGGTCACAGCTCTGGGCCCCCGGGCCGCCCAATCCCACTCTGCCCAGAGGAGTCCAATTAGAGGCGATGCAGGCAGCCTCATTAGCTGCTGCTGCCAGGAGCCTGAAAGGGGGGTGCGGGGAGGGGGCGGCACCACAGGAAACCGAGGCCCCAAGGCCAGGGCCCTGGGGAGTGTGGGCGGAGTGGGCCAGCGCTTCCTTGTCCTGACACAGCCTGCTGAAGGCGGCAGGCAAAGCACGGGGTTTTGACAGCTTCTATGAGCCGCATCAACAATGATCCAAGTCATAGCTGGGATCAGACCCAGATTCTGGAACCTTCCACCATTCACCGGTGTGGGTCAACTTTACCCCAGGGCTCTCTGGGGCCTCCGGAGAGGAGTGCTGGTAAGAGTGGCCGTGTGAGGGAGATCTGCCTGGCTGGCTGGCGTAGGGGTCTCCTAGACACTCGTACTCCTGCTAGGCTCCATTCGGCACGGGGGTGTGTGTGTTTCACTATCCTGGGAGCCTTCCCAGCACCCCACAACCCTGATCAAGTCCTCTTCCTAGAACTATTGGGGACAGTAGAACTGAGGGACACCAGAACCAGGAAAGAACAGAGTAACTGAGTGACGTGCCTATCGAGCCCCACTTAGGGGTCTCCCCCTGAGATCGAGGGGTGACTCTGGAGGTGGAGACATCTTACCAGGGCACGTGCTCGTTCTGCTCTTCTTGGAGCTGCACTGGCTCCTCCTGGAAGTTCCTCTGAGGAAGAAGACGGGGAAAGAACTTCCGGTGACACCCCCCCCCCAGCCTCTCCTTGATCAAACCTGCGGGGCTCGGGCCCCACCCTGCCCGAGGGATGCTCGTTTCTCCGCCAGGTCCCAGACCCTGTGCAACGGCCTCCGAGGCGCATGAACCCACCACCTTCTAGAACTTTCCTCCCCCACTGGGCCCTATTCTGGGGTTGCCCTTGTGTAACAGAAAATAGGTGGTTGTTCTTGAATTGACTCCTGTAGGACCCAGAAATCCTGGCTTCCCGAGTCCCCTGGACACCCCCCAAGCCTCTCACACTCACCTGAGTGAAAATGAGCTCAATGTCTCCCCCCACCCCCCAAGCCCCTTGGAACTCTCGGTTCCCCATCCGGGGTCAGTTGTTCTGGGTCAGACACCAGAGCCAGGCCCCTCTGTAGTTTTTTTTTTCTGGAGTCTTCTCCTCCTCGCCTGGGACCTCACCCACCAACACTCCACTGCTTCCTAAACACCGTCCTGACCTCCGGCCTCTGCATCCTACTGCTCAGAGTGCAGCGTGGGGCGGGGTGCCCCCCCAGGTGCCCCTCGACGCCCTCACCTCGCCATGCTGGACACTAAGTAAATCTAAGACACAGTGATATTGCACAGAGTGGCTCCCCCACCTTCTGAACAACAAAACACCCCTAAGACGTCAGGGCCTAACGAACTGAAACCTCGCTTCTCTCTGGTGGACACCAGGCACCGAGAGGGATACTGTTCAGATGACGGAATTCAGAAGACCAGAGCTCAGTGAGCCGGCCAGCTGCCGAGCCTGCGGACCTGCGTGCAGAGCTGAGCCACCCCACAGGGCTCGAGGCTGTGCCCCCTTCCAGACAGACCGCCGGGCTTGTCACCCAAAGTGTTTCGGGGTGGATTTGAACTGCTAATTTTCCAGCCAACGGTTTGGTGGGTCACCCTGTTGTGCCACCCAGAAAGTCCTCAGAAGGTGATGACCGTGGAGATGAACGGTGGCTCAGAGTGGCCTGAGCTGGGGTCAAGAGTTCACAGTGAGCTTGAACTTGCTACGGTTTGGGTAAAGGAGTCTCGCATTCAAACCACAAACCTTTGCGGTGTCAGGATGAAGGGACACTTAGTTGTCACCCTGCTTCAGAAAGGGCAGCCCGTGGGGAGGAGAACCCCACACAGGCTTTTTTAGGGTGCTGTCTTCACGAGAGAGAGGCCACGGCGGGCTCTTCTGACCAAGGAGGCTGCTGGGTGGTCCTGAACCTCTAACTTCTCCATCAGCAGCTGAGCATTTAACTGCCTGCCACCAGGACTCCTTTCAAACCCACTGCTGTCAAGTCAGCTGTGACTTGAGGTGAATCCTGACAGGGAACCTTCTGAAAACTACAACTCAGGCCAAAGTGCTCACGGCAGTTTGTGGGGTCGCTTTGCTCCCTTTTGTCTGTGGTGCCTGGGGATCAGTCTGCTTTGGTACGAGGGAGCAAAGGCACAGCTGCCCAGCCCCCCAGCCCCATGACTTCTGTGCTCACCTGTGTGCCAGGTGAGGCTTCAGGTGGGAAGGCGGCTTCCTCTTCGGGCTCACTGAGCACCTCCTCCCACTGCCACACTCCACACAGGGGGCTCAGGAGCTCCTCTGCAGCGGCCTTGTTTTGTTTCTGGGGGGTGGTGGAGATGACTCAGGTCAGCCAAGGCCATATGTGGCTGAGCTGGGGTCAACGCTGGGGTCAATGGGGCTGCAGGAGGGGGACAGGGGCTTAGATGGGGGAGGCACAGGGCTGGGGTGAGGCCAGGTGGGGAGTGGAGGAGGCAGGAATGGGGAGGGAGGTGGGATTTGATGAGTCAGTGACCATTGTAGGGGCAATGACGATGAGGGGTCAGAACGGGCTGGGTCAGGTTCAGGATGTGAGGTGCACAGAGGTGAAGAACAGGTGAGGCTGGGGTGGGAGCCTGTTTGGCAGTGATGGGACTTAAGGGATGAGTGGGGTTGAGGGGTCTGAGTGAGGAACTTTGGGTGTTTCCGCTTTGGTGTTTTCTGGGGTTCTCTGAGGGTGCACCTGCTGAGTGGCCTGGATCTCCAAGCCCAGCGACGGGGGCAGCAGCTTGGTGCAGCCCACTCTTCTCTCCTGGGTCCCTTCAAGCAGCCTGGCCACAGAGTTGGAAGGAGGGAAGGCTGGCTCAGGGCCTGCTGCCTCCTGACCCATCAGCCGGCCTGTGAGTCCCGGCCCTGCTTACAGAGGTGCTGGAGCTGGAGGGCTGGGGGGCCAGGGTGGGGAACCCCAAGCCCTGAGAGTCCTGGCACTCCTTACGGAGCAGCTGGAGGCCGGAGGGTTGGAGGTCAGAGGGCTGGGGGGCTGGAGAACCCCCGGCCTTGGTCCTTCCCGGCCCTGCTTACAGAGAAGCTAGAGACTTGAGGGCTAGAGGGCCCTGCACCCCCAGCCCTGGGCCCTCCTGCTCCGCCTCCCCAGTTCTACTCACTCATCTGGTCCTCTGTGGGTCTGACTCAGCTGCTCCTCCAGGTGTGAGATCTCCAGCCTCAGCTCCTGCAAAGGGGGCACCTGGCTCGCCGTGCTGGCCCTCACCCCTTGGGATCCTCTCCCACAGCCCTCTCAGCTGCCCTGACTTCTCTGGGCTCCCCGGGGACGTGGACAAGAAAGCAGTGACAGAGGCTTTGGAAGTGAGAGAGAGAGAGAGAAAACCTCAGACCAAAGCTAGGAAGAGCAGCCAGAAGACAGAGAGACACCTGGAGAGACGGGAGGCCTGGACACGGAGGGCGTGTGAGACTGAGAGGCCAGAGCCAGGCCGACCGGACCCAAAGAGGGGCAGGGACAACACGACAGATGAGAGAGCCGGCCGTGGAGAGCGACCACAAACAAGCACCTCACTCCAATTAGGATGACTACTTATGGCAAAGAATAAAAACACACACACAGGCAAGCTCTGGTGGCCTAGAGGCAAGAAGATGTGCTGCAATTCCAGAGGTACACGGTTCAAATTCCCTAGTGCTCTGGACTTCTCCAGACAAGACTTGTACTTCTGGTAGTTCTCTGCTGATCACTGAAGTGTCAGGAGAAGTCTCAGAAATAAGACACTGTGCTGAGAAATACAGAACATTGGTGGAAGACATTCGATGAGATGGCTCGACAGTGTCTATAACAGGGGCTTGAGAATATCAGACAGTCAGCCTGGTCTCTTTGCTATGGCCTCCACAAAGAAGAGTGGCGAGAAGAAAGGGCACTCTGCCATCAACGAACTGGTGACCAGAGAGGACACCATCAACATTCACAAGCGCATCCGTGGAGTGGGATTTAAGAAGCGGGCTCCTCGGACACTCAAGGAGATCCGGAAATTTGCCCTGAAGGAGATGGGAACACCAGATGTTCGCATCAACTCCAGGCTTAACAAAGCTGTCTGGGCCAAAGGAATAAGGAATGTCCCATCCTGCATCTGTGTGCGGTTCTCCAGAAAATGTCACGAGGATGAAGATTTGCCAAACAAGCTGGATACGGTGGTTATTACCTATGTACCTGTCACCACTTTAAAAAAATCCACAGACCGTTGATGTGGATGAAAACAGCTGATTATCAAATAAAGTTATAAAATTATAAAAAAAGGGGGTATCAGATAGTGGAGATGGCAGAGCACAGGGCAAGGTCCTCACGTGCTGTCCACAGGGCAGCTTTACGTCACAGTGCCCCTCTGGACAACACACCAACCCTCTGTGATCCCATGCCACCCTTACAATCTCCCTCGTCCTTCGGCCCATGGCTCCGGCCACGGTATCAGCCCACCTTGCTGAAGGTCTTTCCCCCCCTCTGCTGACTCTCAGAACTGCCAGATGACCCAGCAAACCCCTCAGCGATACCATCCAGCCAAGGCATCCACCCAGACAGGAAGCAGAGCTCGGACAGGTTTGTGAAATCGTGTTCCCTGGTTAGATCTTCACAGCTGCCCGAATGCAGAGACGGGCCCTGGACCCATCAGTGGGTGAGTGCATCAACAGGACGTGGTCTCCCCACACGGGGGGGCACCACCCAGTCACGAGGACGATGTTCTCCAACATGCCGTGACATCCATGAACCCCAACAACGCGATGCGCGTGAAGAGAGCCAGACCCCAAAAGACACACACAGTGTGACCCTGCTGGTACGATGTCTCTGGAACAGGCAAGTGTAGCAACTGGCTACTAAGGTGGGAGAGGAAGGTGGTGGTTAATGGGGACAGGGTTCCCATGTAGGGTGACAAGCACACTGTGGACAGTGGTGACCGTTAACAACAATATGAATGCACCCATGCCACCAAAGGTACACTCAGAAATGGCTAAGATGGTAACTTTTAGGTGATGCATATTTTACTGTAATTTTTAAAAAAAATTATTATTTTTGTATGTGTACAGTGAAGTCGGATCTGACTGGTATAGGAGATTGTCCCTCCTTCTCCAGCAGAGCATCTGGTGGATTCGAACGTCGTACCTCTGAGATTGCAGTGCAGCTTCTTGCCACTAGGCCACCAGAGCTCCCTTATTTTACCATAATTTTTAAAAATTATTATTTTACCATAATTTTTTTTAAATTTTATTTTATTATTTTTTGTGTGCGTGTACCGTCAAATCAGATCTGACTGGTACAGGAGGAGATTGTCCCTCCTTCCCCGGCAGAGCACCTGGTGGATTCGAACCGTGTTCCTCTGGGATTGTAGTTGCAGCTCTTTGCCACTAGGCCACCAGAGCCCCCCTATTTTACCATAATTTTAAAAATGGAAGGAAAATGAGCCAAGACAGATACACCTGCAAGGCACAGGCCAAAGGTACAAAGCAGAAAACGGGAGACAGAAGTGAGACCTCGCTTGGCTGTGCTCCACAGACAACTCCTATTTTACAAGATGAGGGTCTGTGGCTGCCCTGCACTGAGACAATCGGCACCGTTTTCCTGATAGCACATGCTCACTCGGCAGATCCGGGCCACGTTCCCGTCATTCTTACAATATCTGAAACTTCCCCCACCACACTCTTACTTCACACTTCACAAGACTAGAGTGAAGTGGAAATCTAACTTTTACAGACACTGAGAAGCTGAGGAGGTTGTGTGCCTCCTTTTCTGGCAGCAGTCCGGAAGGGAGAGATCTGAGGCAGGGCCGTGCAGAGCAGCAGAGACCACAGCAGGGAGGTGAGAACTGAGAAACTCAAAACACAAGCCACAAGGAAAAAAAGCAGGAGGGCGAGGCGCTACGTGAAGGGGGAGGGCCAGGGCAGGTGAAGGCAGGGGCTGGCGGTGGGGGTCAGTGGGTACCTGGGTGGTCACTTTGTACTCTTCCAGAGTTCTGGCCAGGCTCTCTGCGTGGTGCGTGCGCTGGGAAAGCCCAAAGCTGACTGAGACTGGGCCCGGCCCCCAGAGACATTGGGGAGGGGGTGTGGGCAGCTGCTGTGAGCTTGGGGGAAATATGGGGGCTGAGGGAGAGCAGCCGGCAGACTCTGGGGCCTTGAGAGCGAGCCTGAGCTGGTCATGAGGGTGACCCAGCAAGCAAGCCCTGGCCCCCTAACCCGGTGCTCTTTATCTCCAGGGGCTGGGCCCAGCCAAGTGCCCCGGGAGGCAGCCGGCTTCCCTTCTGGCCTCACCTCAGACAGCATGGTGTCTCGCTGACAGATCAGGCACTCACACTCGTAGATCTGCCGCTGTCAGGGAAACGGCTTGTCTGTCCTTCTGTCCAGCTCCCCTCCTCCCCCACGCTGCCACAAGCTTGTGGGGTATGCCCGCCCATCCGTGGCCCTGGACAGCTGGGGTATCACCCAAGCTGCCTGAGGCTTCCTGGGGGAGACCCCTGTCTCATGGTGGGTGGGGAAGGGGAAGGGGCAGGGCCAGAGCTGGGCTGGGACGGGGGAAGGGGGAGGCAGCACCTTCAAAGCTTCCTTCTCCAGGGCCAGCTCTTCACTCCGCTTCTTCACTCCGTCCCGCTCAGCCTGCAGCTTCCCGTTCTGGAAGGGGAAGGCATTCACATTCACTGCCATAAACGATACCAGATACCACCGCTCACTCCTGGCCGCAGGACCCTGGCGGTGGGGAGGTTACACGCTCGTCTGCTAATGGAAAGGCTGGCAGTTCAGATTCACCCAGGGGCTCTGAGGATGAGAGACCTGGGAATCTGTTCCCATGAAGGAGACAACCTTGAAAAGCCAGTAAGGCAGCGTTCCCATCACATGAGGCAGCTGAGTTGAAAATGACTCTGTGGCAACTAACAATAAGAGGAGATATCTTCAACAAATGAATGGATAGAGAAGCGGTGGTATATTCACACCATGGAATACTATGCAGCACTGAAAAACAAGGAACTCATAAATATTATACAAATGGGTGACCCTCCCTGGAGGACACTATGCTGAGTGAAATATCTCAGTCACAAAAGGACAAATATTGCATAGGGGCCACTGCTGTAAAATGGGACTGACATCCGGGTTGAGGGAAGACAGAAAAGGAGGGGAGGAATGATGTATACTGCATTAGAATAGATGAGGGAGTGAACTGTTTAAAAGGGACATATGAATGGGTATTCTTGTCATAACAGAAGTCCAGAGTGAAGGCTGCATAGTGGAGTGGACTTGGGGGGAAGGACTGCATAACAATGAAAGAGTTTTTCTTTTTCAAGAGAAGAGAGAATTGGGGAGGAGGGGGTGGGCCGGGAGAAAAGTACAACAATGAATGACTGGAAACCCTAAGTCTCTGTAAACTTTCATTAAAATTAATTTTTTTTTTTAAAAAAGAGGAGGTATCTGCTCTATTTTAGCCAATTCAATCCTGAGCCTTCACCCCTCTGTGCACATCCCTCCCAGTGGGGACAATGAGATCTTCCTCAAGGGGGTGCTGTGGGGCCAAACAGGTAAGAATTGCTAACACTTGTTTCAGTTAATAGATGCAGCCCTGGGTGGGCTCATCAGTCTGTCAGGAAATCTGGAGGACGGCTCTCTGGCCAGTGGATTGCAAGAGATCATATTTGTTCACCATTCCCCAGAAAGGCGAGCCAAAAGAATGAGGAAACTATTGAACGATTATCATTGATATCACATGCAAGCAAAACCACGCTGAATACCATTCAAAACCAGCTAGAAGAGTACATTGATATGGAACCGCCAGGAAGTCAAGCAGGATTTAGAAGAGGCTGTGGCACCAGGGGTATCGCTGCTGGTGTCAGAGGGATCCTGGGTGGAAGTAAAGAATACTAGAAGAATGTCTATTTGTGATTTATTGACTCTGCAAAGGCATTTAACTGTGTGGATCATTACAAGTTAAGGCTAACATTAAGAAGAATTGTAATCGGAACAAGAAGCTGCACTGCAATCCCAAAGGTGCTTGGTTTTAATCCACCAGACGCTCTGCTAGAGGAGGAGGGACAATCTCCCCCTGTACCAGTCAGATTCAATTTGATGCTACGTGCACAAATAATTTAAAAATATTAAAAAAGAACAGGAATCTCAGAGCACTTGTGTTCATGCAAAACCAGGAGGTCATTGTGCGAACAGAGCAAGGGAATACTTGTTATGTGCTGTCGAGTCGCCCAAGACTCACAGTGACTCTATGTACAATAGCCCTAAATACTGCTCTATCCTGTGCCAATCTCACTGCCTCTGACACACACATCCTGATTACCCCAGTTACCAAATCAATCTCATTGAGGGTCATGGTTTAAAAAAAAGAAGAAAGAGCATTAGGGTGGTAGTCTCCCTCCATACCTATTCAATGTGTATGCTCAGCAAATTATTCAAGAAGCTGGACTCTATGAAGAGAAGTGTGGCATCAAGAATGGAAAAGAGGCTCATCAATAACCTGCATTATGCAGATGACACAAGTGTGTTTGTTGAGAGCTAGGACTTGGTGCACTTGTTGCAGAAGATCAAAAGAATAAAGTCTTCAGTATGGATTGCATCTCAATGTCAAGAAAACAAAGATTCTTCCCACTGGACCGATAGGGGATGGAGGAAAGATTGACACAGTCAACAGTTTCATCTTACTTGGATCCACAACTAACACCCTTGACCGCAGCAGTCAGGAAATCAGGAAACATACTGCACTGGGAAAGTCTTCAGTTGGGGATTTCTCCAAATTACTGAGGAGTAATGATGTCAGTTTGAGGACTAAGGTGCATCTGATTCAGGCCATGGTCTTTCTGATCACTTGCTGTGCATCTGAGAGCTGGAGAATGAATAAGGATGACAGATGAAGTCTTTCAGCTGTGGTGTTAGGAAAGAGCGCTGGATATCCCATGGACTGCCAAAAGAACAAACTTAAATGTCTTGGGGAGGGTGCAGCCAGAGTGCTCTTTGGAGGCAAGAATGATGAGGCTTCACCTCATATACTTCAGGCACGTTGCTAGAAGGGGCTCTATGATACTGAGAAGGTGGAGGGTCGGCGAAGGAGAGGAACAACTTTGACCAGGTGGACTGACACGGTGACTGCCCCAACGGGCTCTAATGTGTCAGGCAGTGTGAGGATGGCACAGGACAGGACAGGGTTCAGATCTGTGGTTCACAGGGTTTCTAAGTCATACTCAACTCAGTGAAACATAACAACACTTGGTGAAGGAGCCCGAAAGGTACAGTGGGGTTAAAGTTCAGCTGCTAACTGCGTGTCAGCAGTTCAAACCCACCAGCTGCTCCACAGAAGATTCACAGCCCTGGGAACTAACTGGATGGGGAAATCGTACTCGGGGAGGGGGGACAGGTTTGCTGTGAGCAGGAATCGACTCACAGCAGTGGGTTAAATTTTGGTTTAACACTTGCTCAGCACTTTGAATGTGCTGTCAAGGACTTCTTTGAAGTTCTAAAGAGCAAGGATACCCCTTTAAAGACTAAGGTGCACCTGCCGCTTGCCACGGGATGTTCGACTGCCTCCTATGCATCCAAGAGTTGCAGAATGAAGGAGCCAAAGAACAGATCTCTTTAAATTGTAGCTGATGAAGAGAACTGAATAGCTCTCCTATGGACTGTCAAAACAACAGACAATTCTTGGGGAGCTCTGGTGGCCTAGCGGCAAGAAGCTGCACCGCGATCCTAGAGGTATGTGGTTCGAATCCACCAGATGCTCTGCTGGAGAAGGAGGGGCAATCTCCTCCTGTACCAGTCAGATCCCATTTGATGGCACGCACGCACACACGCACACTAAAACTTTAGAAAAAACAATGCACAATTGTCTCTTGGGAGATGTGCAAGCAGAGTACCCCTTAGAGGACAAGTGGGGTGAGGCTTTGTCCCACAGCTTCAGGCACGTTGCCAGGAGGGGCCAATCCCTGGAAAGAGGCATCCTGCTGAGAAAGGCAGAGCAGGAGAGGAAGACCCTCAAAGAGAGGGACTGTCATAGTGACTTCACCGGGCTTACGGCTATCAGATATCATGACGCTGGTGCAGGACGGAGCAGGGTTCACTGCCGCTGTCCACAGAGTTGCTGTGGGTCGCAGGTGACGTGATAGCATCTAACAACCACCACTTCTCATCTTCCAGCTTAAAGACAGGAGCGTAAGTGGTGCAGTAGGTTGTGTTGGGGGCTGCTAACCAGAGAGGCCGACAGTTTGAATCCACCAGCTGCTCCCGAGGAGAAAGACAAGGCAGTCTTCTCGTTAAATGTGTTCCGTTTTGCTCACATGAGGATGCATACAAAGGCTACCACTCCTTGGAAGCAGTGTCTTCTCATTTAGTGGATCTTTAAGAGATTAAGATGTTAACCAGTGAGCTTCTCATCACACCACTTGCCAGGGCACAGCATCGGCTGACACCCCAGGTCATCGTCAGTCCGGAGGGCCTTTCACACTTGTGTTTGCTGCTCATTCATCTGTGTGTGTGTGGGGGGAGGGCTCACGTTGTCCCTCCATCTCCAGAGTAAACTGGTGGGTGGCTCTGGGGGACTCCACAGGCTCCTGTTCGATTTATTTTTTTTGGCAGGGAGACTTCCACCGGGCAGCCCTCCACACAACACTGTGAGCCAGTCAGGAGTGTAACGTCTAGCGGTTCTAACTTCTAAGATCTGTATTCCACTGCTCAGTTTTATGTGGGAAAACTGAGGCATGAAGCAGCTAAGAAACATGACCTAGGTCAAGGTCTTATGTTGAATAAATTATCTCAGACTCAAATCTGGTCCCAAATAGTAATAATAATAATAATTTAAAAAAATCCAGACTCTTCTGAACCAGCCTCAGCCCTGGGTGGGAATGGAGACACAATGCTTTAAGGGGTGAGTCCCGAGATTCCTGGTTGAGGCTGACGTGGAGCGAACGGTTACAGCAGCATGAGAGGAAGGTCCTCTGAGCGAGGAGGTCAACCAGGAGTGTTATCCAGGCACGGCAGGTGGGGAGAGGGAATGGGCCCCAGAACACAGTGTCCGAAGTCCCAGCGTGGAGTGTGTGGGCACCGGCAGCATAGCATATGGCACTGAGATTCTCCGTGAGCAAGGCTGGGGGACTATTTGGGGGCATGGGGCAGGCGGAGCGTGCCACACCCCTCCACCCGGCGCCCCAGGGGACACCTTCCACCAGCCTGGGCTCAGCTCCAGGTCCTCCATGAGCTGCCTCAGTCTCAGCAGGGCCGGGTAGGCAGGTGAAGGGCGGAGGAAGGACGGGCGGGCGGGGAATGCTGTGTCAACATCTGTCCACCTGGCTGGGATCGGGCTGCCCTGCAGGCGGCCTGGTTACTCAGATGCTCTTGTCTTGTCCTGCAGAAACTGGAGCCCTCCCTGCTGCAGGTTCTCCATAGGAAGGACCCAGCCTCTACAGTGTCTCCTTACCCGCATATTCTTTTGTAACTTGAGAATCCAATCTATAGACACTTTCTGTCGTTGGCAGCTGCAGGAGGTGGGAAGGAACCCAGAATAGCTCGTTTATCGAGCGCCCTCTGAGATTGTCCCAGGCACAGCGCGAGGCACTTGACCCCACCGCGGGCCTTCTAAGTGGGGGGTGGCGAGGCGTCCTATTCAGTTCTCCTTCTGCTGACAGAAACCCGCTACTGTCCAGGGTCCACTCTGTTCCTCTAAGGGCAGCCCCACCCCAGGGGAGAAGGAAGATCAGGTTCTCAGCACAGATGGGAAGACTCGTGGGCTACTCTCACCACCAACCCCCGCAGCTCTAACTCGCCCGCATCCACTGCGGGGGCTGGACGCTCTCCCTTGAGGCTGAAGCATCAGTCCTGGGGAGTGAAATGCAACGGATCTGCTGGAGAAGCTTCTGGAAAGCTTTCCTTCTGGTGAAAAGGAAGCCATTCCTTCCCCCCGATGTTCTGCGGAGAATGTGAAGTGGCCAGGTGGGATCATGAGGCCACAGCCAAACAAGCCAATGAGTCACAAAAGCAACACAGAGAACGGGGCCCTCCAAGGCTCTGGCCGAGGAAGCAAGTGTCCTTGAGGCTTGAAGCCGCTTCTCGGTTCCTCTGGGTGCTGGTCCCCGGAGTGGAGGGCATTCCCCACTGGTCGGGGCCAAGCTGCCCTCGACAGGGGCTGTCTGGAGAAGTTCTTGTGTGGCACAAATGGTTAAGCACCCAGTAACTAATCCAAGAGTTGATGGTTTGAATCCGCCCAGATGTGGTGGCCCAGGAAGGGCTGTTTGGATGTGATCGCTTGATGTCACCCTGGGTGATCAGCTGCAGACTGGAGGAGCCTCCAGGGACATTTGTTTCCTGTTCTTAAGAGATTCTGGTAGGGGCAGCGGGGGGGCTCAGTGACAGAATTCTCTCTTGACTTCTGTCCAGGACACTCGGCTTTGATTCGCAGACTCAACGGCCAGCTGCTGCCCACCAGGCTGTGTGGAGGCTGCCGCCGGACCGACTTCAGTGGAGCTTTCAGACCAGGACAGATTAGAAACAATGGATGGTGATCTGCTTCCGAAAATGGCAACGGCCAAGGGCCCAGGGCCACAGAATGCTTTACTCCACCATGCGAGAGGCTGCCGTCATCTGGGTGCTGACCGGATGACTGCTCAAGGCAACAGGTTGTTCTGGAAGAAATGGTCACGTCCATCAGTGTGACAGATGCCTGTTGTCCCACGGGGGTGAATTTTCATGGGAGAACTGAAGTCAGAAGATGGTACTTTCAGGATTTCAAATTTAAAGGCTCTGAGTCAGAGAGAGATGAAGGAAGCACAAGACCCAGCAGAAGCTGCAGCAGGGCTGTGACCGAGGAGCTGGGCTGGGGGCGGGAGAGTGAGCGGAGAGCAGGGGGCACAGGCCAGGCCAGGTCAGCTCCACTGCAGTGACCGCAGGCCCCCGGGAGGGCTGCGACTCCGAGAGGCGCTGGGCCGTGTCCCAGCTCGGTCTCAGGAAAGCTGTCCGAAGGGCTCCAGGCCGAGCAGACCCAGTGAGGCCTCTCTGTCTCCTCGGAAAGCAGCTAAGCCTCTCCCATGCCCAGAAAAGGATGTGGAAGTGACCCAGAGAGAAACAGAGCCAGAGAAAGCATCCGTACAGGAGCAGTGAGGCCTGAAAAACCAAGCCCAGAGACCGGAAGGTGACGCAGGGGCCTCAGTGGACGCCCGCCGGCCACAGAGACCAAGGCCAGGAAGCAGATGGGATGAGGGACATCAATCTGGTGACCAGCAGAGAGGACAGACATTGAGCGATGATGGGCATCTTACAGCACCACCTCAGACGTCACCTTGGCACTGGGGGTGGCCGTCCCTTTAAGTGGCGAGTTTCAACTGCAACCTGAAAGGCCCAGGCTGGCCTGGATGAAATCAAGACGACATTTGTCCTGTCTCCAACACAATGGGGGCTTGAATTGGAGAAGCAACTCAGTAGGGTCTGTTGTTGTTGTTGTTATGTGCCGTCAAGTCGCTTGCGACTCATAGCGACCCTATGTACAACAGCCCTAAACTCTACTCTATCCTGTGCCAATCGCACTGTCTCTGACACTCCCATCCCGATTATTCCAGTCACTGAATCAATCCACCTCATAGAGGGTCTTCCTCTCCTGCACTGTCCCTCCACCCTCCCAAGGATGATGTCCTTCTCCAAGGACTGGTCCCTCCTTGTAACATGGCCAAAGTATGTTAGACGGAGCCTCAGAATCCTTGCCTCCAAGGAGCCATCCGGTTTAACCCTTTCCAGGAGGAATCTGTTTTCCTGGCAGTCCATGGTACTCTCAATACTCTTCTCCAGCACCACAGCTCAAAGGCATCAATTCTCCTTCTATCCTCCCTAGTCATTGTCCAACTCTCTGATGCATAACAAGTGATTGCGAAGACCATGGCCTGTATCAGACACACCTTAGTCTCCAGAGAGACACCATTGCTCTTCAGGACTTTGGAGAGGTCCCTAACAGCAGACTTTTCCATGGCAATGCACCTTTTAATTTCCTGGCTACTGGTGCCAAGAGCGTTGACTGTGGAGCCAAGCAAACTAAAGCTGTTAACAATCTCAATCTCTTCACCATCTATCCTGATGCTGCCAATTGGTCCAGTGGTGAGAATCTTTGTCTTCTTGACATTGAGCCTCAGTCCTGTAGGGTCTGGGCATCCATTTAATCCCAACAACTCCAATGAAAAGGTACCTTCTCCCCAGAAATGAAGGCTGTGAGAGAAATCATTTGGCTAACAGTCGCCCACGAGCTTAAGGGGCAAAGACGGGACACGAAATCAGGGAGACAGACCCCTCTGCCCCCTATTTTGCCCTCAGGTTGATTCTGACTCAGCAGCGCCACTGTGGGGTTCCCAGGGCTGTAAATCTTGGCAGGAAGAGGTTCTTCCTTCTCCTGAGAAGAGGCTGGTGGATTCAGACAGGTGATCTTCGAGGTAAGCAGCCCAATGTGCAGGCCCCTCCACCACAAAGTCCGTGTTCTTTCTGTCATCGTGGTTACGGGCGACTGAGTCAGAATCAACTCACAGGGAACCCCCCCCCCCCCAGCGGGCTTTCAGGGGCTGTAAATCACACGGGAGGAGGCTGGCCGTCTTCCTCTCCCAGAACTCACACCTCGTGCCTTTGGACGGGCAGCACAACTCATCTTCACTAAGCTACCAGGGGACCCTGCTTTTCACTATAAAAGGAATCTCTATCTCCCCCCCCCCCAAAGACAGACCAGGAACTCTGGGAACCTGCTGGTAAGGTGCCAGCACTGCCAACCCGAAGCCACATGGCTCAAACTCACCAGCTGCTCTCGGGAGAAAGGGGGCAACCTCCCCCTGTGCGCTAACTGCCTCTGAAAACCTGCTGGAGGGTCTGGTGCAGGTCTGTTCCAGCTCAACAGTGCATGACAGCAACATAAATACAGAGCTCCAACTTTCTGCTCTCAAGCAGGACTTGATCGCAGCTGGCCCTCCAGTATCTCGGAGGCTATAAATCGCGTCGGAAGACTGTCCAGCTTTCTTGGGAGGAGCTGCTGGTGGATCTGAACCACCGGAGGTGCTGCAACTCCCTACAGACTTCACCACCAGTTGTGTTGTTGTTATGTGCTGTCAAGTTGCCTGTGACTCACAGCGACCCTATGCACAAAAGCTCTGACCCTGCACCAGTCTCACTGTCTCTGACACACCTACTCCCGTTACCACAGTCACTGAGTCAATCCATCGCCTCCACAGTCTTCCTCTCCTGCGCTGTCCCTCCACCCTTCCAAGCGTAATGTCCTTCTCCAAGGACCGGTCCCTCTGGGCCATATGCCCAAAGTCTAAGGGACGGAGCTTCCAAATCCTCGCCTCAAAGGAGCAACCTGGTTTCACCGTCTCCAGGACAGACCAGCTTGTTCTCTTGGCCAGAGCTCCAAGAAACGCCTATGGGGCAGTTTTGCTTTGTCACCCAGAATTGCTATGACCACTGATTTAAGGGTACCCAACAACAAAGCTAACTTTCAGCGAACATTTCCTGTGGGTCCAGAGATTCTGGTGGTAGACAGGGGAGGCGCTTGGCCACTAAGGAAAGGTCAGTGGTGTGAACACAGCAGGGACACAGAGGAAGCGGTGACACTGCTTCCACACAGTCCGCAGCCCCTGAGGTCCTGTGGGGCGGGCTCGACTCTGTCCTGTGTGGTCGCTAAGAGTCGGAATCAACTCAACGGCAGTGGCTTTGGCTCTATGGTCCTGCCTTGCGCCAGAAGACTGCACATATGTCTGATCTCGTGTACGGCCAGGAGGGAGACTCTACTGTTACATGGACACTGAGGTGTGGAGCGGGGGACCGGCCCATGCTGGCAGGCAGCCTCACCGAACCCCAGCAGCTTGGCTTCACCTCACAATACTCTTCCAGCCACAAGGACCTTCTCATGTTCTGCGAGGTGACCCCAGGGACAGGCAAACACTCTCTCTTCCTATTCCAGTCTCAGGCCACAGAGAGTGGAGATCTGAGGGTGTGGGAAGTGGGGGGGCCCTCCGCTCACCTCTTCTTGCAGAGTCTCCATCTTTGCCACCAGGTGCTGTTGCTCCTTTTCCTGGGGACCCCGAGAGATGACAGGATTGGTTTCCATCCCCTCTGCCGACCCCCCTTGCCTTTCCCACTATGGGGACCCATGGGACAGGGCTGGGGGACAGGTCCTGTCACCCTGATGGCTCCAGCTGACCCCCCTCATCATGAGAAGGTGGTAGGTAAACCCGAGCGAGTCTAGGGCAAGCAGAGCTCAGAGCAGGGAGGATGTTGGGGGGCACCTGCCCGTGGACACCAGAGTCCAGCTCCGTCATCTCTGCCTCCAGGACAGAGGGGGCCGCTGGTGTTCTCCCGCCCGGACCCACCGTCTGTCGGGCTTGGGTCAGCAGGTTGCGATTCTTCTCCTCCAGGCTCTTGGCCAGAGTCTTCAGGTCCTCCAGGTCCTCGTCCACGGCCTTGGCAAACTGCAGAGCCTGCTGGGCGCTGGAGGGACAGGCAGATGGGACACGCAGGAGAGAGGGAGGCAGAGCTGCAGAGAGGGCTGGGGCTGGGAGGAGGGGGCAGAGACCTCAAGAGACAGGGGGCAGAGGCCCCCAAAGAGGAGGACAAAGACCTTGAAATAAGCTAAAATCGGGACCCCACGGCAGCTGATAGACACAGGGACAGCAGCGGGCCAGTGGCATGGAAGATCAGACCGACAGCCAGCCTGAGAGACAAGAACCAAGAGACACAAAAGAGGAAAAGTGCAACAAGGGACAGATGCAGTGACAGAGAGCCAGAGCTGGCTGTGCTGAGGGCCGGTGGGGGGCAAAGCCAGGGGAGCTGGCGGGAGGGTGGGGCTCAGCGGGCGGGACCCCACCTGCGGAGCTGCTTGCGAAGGGTGACCATCTCCTCGCTCAGACGCGTGGTGCTCTCCTCGGCCATCTCCACGCTCCGCTGCAGCTTGCTGTTCTCCTGGGCCAGCCGGCGGTTGCTGAGCTCCAGGTCCTCCAGGCTGCTCAGCAGGTCGGCAGTGGCGGGCCTGGGGCAGAGAAGGGCTGGGCTCACTGCTGCCGCCCTGCCTGTCACTGCAGACTGGCCGCGTGGGAGTGAGTGCGGGTGTGTGTACACGTATCTGTCTTGAGCAGAAGCAGAGAAAGGTAGTGGCCAAGCCCCGAGCCACACGCACTTCCCCCAAGGACCCCAGGTTTCTGCAGGCTGAGGAGGGGGAGGAGGTGGGGACAGCAGGGTCTGAGGATAGGTACGGTTCAAGTCGGGGGTCTTCGCCTCCGAAGCTCTCCAGATTGGCTGGCTCTTCAGCTTCCGGGCACCCTGGAAGGAGGTATTGAGATGCCTGAGACCTGTACCCACATTCCAGGGAAACCCGTCTGGCCTCCACCTTCACATCTGTTCCCACGTCCTCATTTGCTGCCAGGCTGCGCTGGCTGGTACAGAGGCCTTGTGCCTGTCTGTCCCTGAGCCCCGGTGGGAGCTCTGGATAACCTCCAGGCCTGAACCACCTCCCATAGTGTCACACCTCCCAGCTCCTCACCTTGGGGAGGGCTCGCACCCCAACATCCCCGAAGTGGCTAGGCTGGCCTGGTGGCTCTGCTCCTTAGTCTCTCAAGCCCAGTCTGTCCATGTCCATTGCCCCTGACTCTTTGTTCCCACAGGCACCCCGGTTTCCCTGGCTCATCACCCCAAGCTCCTCCAGTCCCTCTCTCGAGTCTGTCTGTACCGCAGGCTCCAGAGGGGTCTTTTTCTAACTAGAGGTGACCCACCCCTACTGCTCACAGCACCCTCTGGCTCCCCAAGCCTGACGGGAGCAGGTTCAAGGGAATTTTATAGAAGCCATTCCTGCCAACCCCTCTTCTGTTTTGTAAGCCAGGAGAAACACAACAGGAACCCTTTTTTTTCCACAGAGTGCTTTCCAAAAATGAGGTCGTGAGGGTACAAAGCAAACAAACACAACCCCAGGACAGAAACAAATCGGCTCCCCTGACTTGTGGGGGTCTGGGCTCTCCAGGGAAGGACAGACAACTTGGGAATGACCCCAGGAAGAAAGGAACTGGGAGCTGGAGGGCTTCCTAGGGAGGTGTTCCCTTTACCTAAGGATGAATGAAGGATGGGGGAGACAGATGGGGAGACTGGGGCTGGAAGGATCCTGGGAACTGGAGCCAGGTTCCAGGGACCACTGAGTAAGAGGGAGCTGGCCTGAGCTGACATCAAGGGTGGGCAGGCCTCCAAGGCACAGATAATGGGATTGGTGGAAGAGTGGTTGGTGAGAGTCCTAGAAGCCAAGCTCACAGCTCAGGCCAGTGGACGTCTGAGCGCCCCTCTATCCTCGGCTCTGCCCTGTGTGGGAAGTGCCTCCACAGTCCAACCCTGGGCCCGCCTGCCCGCTTCATTCTATATATAGCAATCTCACCAGATGGCAGTTGCTGGGGGGTCAGGGCCCCCTGAAAGGCGGTCTCCTCTTCCAGCTCTAATCCCCTGTATCAAAGGGATGAGGCTTAGAGCCCCCCTGCAGCCTCTGGAGTCCCAGGTGGTGTTGGGGCGGAGGAGGGACCAGGTCAGGTGCACTGACACGGAGGGAGCAAGGTGAGGCCAGATGGCTGTGTCCAGGCCAGGCGGGCAAGCAGGAGGCAGGGGACAGAGGTCCACCCCGTGCCACTCCCTTCTCCCTTTTCCACTTCTGGCTCCGGGCCCCACCAACACCCATCCCAGGCACTGTCTCCAGGCCTCCTCCCAGCTCCATCTCTTCTCTTTTCCTCCTCAGCCTCATTCCAACCACAGTACCCACTGCCCCGGACCCACAGGGTGCTGGCTGCAGGAAGCGTGAAGGTCAGAGCTGAGGAAGACCTTTCCTGGAGAAGGTAAAGGTGTGAGGACCCACCCGTCTAGCTGACAAGCAGCGATCCAGTCCCGCATGACGGCCAGGAAGGTGTCCAGGTCCACAGTGGCCCCAGGGCCCTCCCCACTGGGGTCCAGGCTGCGGGCCAGTGTTTGGAGGCATGCGTCCTGGGGACCCCGTCCGGTTACAGTCGCCAGGTAGGCCACCACGCGGGTCACAGCCACAACACCTGTGGGTAGGACACAAGTGAAGGAGTGGACAGCCGAGGGGGGGTGTCAGGCTGGGCTGGCAGAGGGCAGCACCTCTGCCTGAGGCTGGGCCCTCTCTGCCAGAGGCTGGGCCCTCTCTGCTTGAGTCTGGGCCCTCTCTCCCTGAGTTCCCAGGCCTCAGGACTCCCTACTTAAATCCATACCCCTCAACTCTCTCCTCTCCTCATTGTCCTGAAAGATCTCCATGCCTTTACCTACTTCCTTCCTGAAGTTCCCTATGTCACGGACTCACAGTCACATCACCCGGCAGGACCCCCATCCAAAGTGGCCCAGGCCAGCCAGCCTTCCTGCTCCCTATATTCCTTGACTGTACCTCTCCCCACCCCCCTACCCTTGCCCTTCCCACCTGTCCTCTTGGGGTCACATGCTTCGAATGTGGAGTTGAGCACTTGTTCCTCTAGGCTGAGTGGTGTCCCCAGGCTCCCCTGTTCAGGCTGGTCCCAGAGGTACGCTGAGGGGACAAGAGGTCCACCACTGAGGAGGTGGCAGAGGGGAGGGGAGTGAAGTGGAGCCCAGGCTGGGTGTCCAGGGCCCCAGAAGCTGGGAGGAAACCCATGTGGACTTGAGGCTACCGGGGAACAGCAGAGTCTGGCAGGGCATTGAGGGTCCCATCTTTCAGGTCAGTAAGAAGGCTCTCTCTCCCAGTTATCTATCCCTGTTCCTTTGTGATGAGTCAGCCCACCACGCAGGAGCCTGGAGAAGGCTTTCCTCCGCTCGCCAGCCTCCCAGGGAAGGCTCCAGGGGGCTGGAGTGGGGAGCGCAGAGAAGAGAGGATTCTGGGAGGAGCCCAGGGAGAAGCATCACTCCTCGCCCCCGCCCCCTCCCCAAGCCAGGAACAATCCAATAAAGCGGGCAGCCTGGATCGATTCTGCTGGCCGCTCGGGTCTCCCAGCCCCGCTGAGGGGCCAGGCTGCCCTCCTCTGTGTGGCCAAAGGGGAGCTGGCATCTCTGTCATCATTGGAGCCCAGGACGCAGAGAGATGGGTTGATCCAAGCAGGGTGGGCAGTGGGGCGTGGGCACATCGACCTGGGCTCTGAGCCCCGCTGTACCACCGGGAGAAAGTGTCCCCCATCTCAAAGCCTCGGTCTCCCCACTGGTATAGCAGGGGGTGAGGAGCCAGGTGAAATTATAGCTCAGTGCTCTGCCGTTCACGGCAAGGTTGGCAGTTCAAACCCACGAGCCTCTCCATAGGAGAACGACATGGTAGTCTGCTCTCATATAAAGATTACCCCACCCCCACCGAGTCATTCTGACTTACAGTCCCCACCCCCCGACAGGTGAGAGTACAAGCGCCCCAGACAGTGTGTTTCCAGGGCTGTGGTCTTTACAGAAACAGAGATGGCTCCATCTTCCTCCTGTGGGGCAGCTAGTGGGTTTGAACTGTTGACATTCTGCTTTGCAGCTGGGCTCTTTAACCAATGCTCCTCTCCCCCTCACCCAAGTGGCAGGGCTCTGACGCCCTGCATTTGGGGGGTTTGTGCTGGTTATAGGCACAGTGCATGCACACAGATGGTGCTCAATAGGTGTGCCCACCTCGGTCTCTGACAGCTGGGTGCAAGGGCATTTTTGCACAGACTCTGGGGTCAAGCCCACACGGGCCATCTGGGCTCTGTCGTCTCTGCCAAGGCATTCCACCTCCGCTTTCCTCCCCTGGAGAATGAGGATGGTGTTATCTCCCTCCTGGGGAAGGAACGAGGCAAAATCCACAAAGTGCTGGCGTCTGGCAGGTTCCAGGCCTGTTCTGAGGGCCTCGCCTGGACCAGCCTGTCCCCGTCAGTTGGAGGTTAGTATTAATGGCCTCACTGCACAGATGAGGAAGGAGCCCTAGTAGCAGGGTGGGCTAATGCACAAGGCTGCTAACTGGCGGCTCAGAGGTTCAGACCCACCAACTGCACTTCAGGAGAAAAGATAGGCAGCTCGCTTCCGTCAGGATCCACAGCTTTGGAAACCCTATGGGGCAGCTCTGCTCCATACTACGGGGTCCCTGTGAATTGAGTCCACTTGGGAGTTGACTTGATGACACTGGGTTTGGTTTACAGACGAGGAGACTGAAGCACAGAGAAGTGAGTGAATCACCCAAGGCCACTTAGTGGATAGTGAGCTTACAGGGTACGCTCTGGCCTGAACCCATCCTGTAGGTCTGGCGTTCGGGAAAGGAGCAGGAATCCAGTTAGGAGAGAGATACCTTGACTTCTCATCTTTTCTCCTGGTCCCACAGGCTCAGGACTCTGTGTCCCTTGTCTCCACATTCCCCCTAGTGTCCCCTCATTCTGCCTCTCTGGATCTCTTGTCCCCGTTTTCTTCTGTCTCCTCTTCCTCTTCTCTTCCCTGTACCTCCCTGTCTCTGCACTCCTTGTGCCTTTTCAGTTCTTCCTCCGCCTGTCTCTCTCTCTCTCTCTCTCTCTCTCCCCATCTCCACCTCCCCACCTGGGCGTGTTCTCACTCCGAGGGTTCAGTTCCTTGGTGGCCGCACGCCCTCTACCGGTGCAGGTGAAGCTTGCAGGTCGATAGCTTAGCCGAGCGGTCCTCTATCCCCGACACCCTCTGACAGGTGCAAAGTGTCCTGAGGCCAAGTCCAGACCTAGGACTCTTTTTTTTATTATTTTGTACATTTATCTGTCTCTTTATTATTAAATTTTATTAATTTTAATGAACATTTACAGAGATTTTGGGTTTTCATTCATTCATTGTTGCACTGTTTTCTCTACCCCCCTTCCCAGTTCGTTCTTTCCCCCCCCGAAAGTGTTTCAATTGTCTAATTGCCACAGTGCTTGTTAAAGCCAGTTCTGATTAATCTCCTTTGTCAGTGTGTCCTTTGTCATTCCCTATCACTCCTCCCTGAGAGAGACTTCACCCTGATTCATAAGGAAAAGGGGATGGCGTATTCTCTTAGCTACTTCCTGCTGAAAAGGGACGCTGTAGGTTTCAGGGTCAGACCTAGGACTCTTGAGACAAGATGTTAGCTCGGCTGCCAATAGCTGGAAGCCTCTAACAAAGGATCCCTGCCTCCCATATCAGACTAGGCTTTCCCAAGGGTGGAAGCCCTGCTTCCCCTATTAGACTGGGTCTGCCTAGCGGGTGGGAGTTCTACCCCTCCTCTTCAGACTCACATCTGAAGAGAGTGGGAGTCCCGAGCCCGAGTCTCCCCTCAGTCTGAGTTTCAGAGGAGGTGTCCTACCTCCCCCTTTGGGTGTTAACTTCTGTTAAGAATGACTCATACAGACCCTATGAACAAGAGATCTGAACCCTGTCGCACCCTGTGCATCCTTATACAGTGACACTTCGGAGCCCACTGCAGAAATCCATCTGGTTGAGGGTCTTCCTCTCTTCAGCCAACGCCCCCACTCTTCAAAGCATGATGCCCCTTCTCCAAACAACAGCCTCTCCTGGTAACAGGCCCAACGTATGCGAGACAAAGCATTATCATCTTTGAAGCCAAGGAGCACTCTGGCTGCACTTTCTCTAAGATATATTCGTTTGTTCTTTTGGCAGATTTGGGGATGTTTGGCACTCTTCTCCAATATGACAGCTCAAAGGCGGCAATTCTTCTTCTGTCATCCTTATTCACTGCCCAGCTCTCAGATGCATACATAGCAAGTGACTGAAAAGACCATGGCCCGAATCAAGTACACCTTAGTCCTCAAACTGGTATCACTGCTCCTCAATAATTTGGAGAGGCCTCTGACTGTAGACTTTCCCAGTGCCATGCATTTCCTGACGTCTGGTTCCAAGGATACTGATCATGGACCCAAGTAAGGTGAAGTCATTGACAACGTCACTCTTTTCTCCATCTCTCCTGATGTTGCCTATAGGTCCAGTGGTAAGAATCTTTTTTCCTTGACATTGAGATGCAATCTATACTGAAGGCTGTATTCTTTGATCTTTTGCAACAAGTGCCTCAAGTCCTCCTCACTTTCAGCAAACAAGGTTGTATCATCTACGAAACACAGGTCATCCTCCGATCCTGATGTCACATGCTTCTTAATAGAGACCAGTTTCTTGAATAATTTGCTCAGCATACAGACTGAAGAGGTGTGGAAAAATACCACCCTGATGCATGCCTTTCTTAATTTTAAACCACAGCAGCCTCTTCATCTAGGTATAAGTATCTCATGAGCACAATTAATAAGCTCTGGGATTCCCATTCGTCTCAGTGTTAGGCATACTCTGTTATGATTCACACACCTTTGCACAGTCAATAAAGCCTAAAAAGACATTCTTCTGGTATTCTTTACTTTCATCCCGGATCTATCTGACATCAGCAATGATAGTCCTCATGTCATGGCTTCTTCTAAACCGCACTTGAACTTCTGGAAGTCCCCTATCTTATGTACTATTCTAACCTCCTCTTTCTTTTGAATATGCCAAGGTTTTTTGTTGTTTTGTGGGGTTTTTTTGGGGTTTTTTTTATGGTGAGGAAAATCTGTATTTGGAATTAGTCAGATGGGGGAGGGGAAAGGCAAGACAATGTGCAACAATGAATGAATATCCAACTTTTCTGTTGTTGTTGTTGTTATGTGCCGTTGAGTCCCTTGCGACTCATAGCGACCCTAGGTACAACAGCCCTAAACCCTGCTCTATCCCGTGCCAATCTCACTGCCTCTGACACATCCATCCCGATTACCCCAGTCACTGAATCAATCCACCTCATAGAGGGCCTTCCCCTCCTGCGCTGTCCCTCCACTCTGCCCAGCATGATGTCCCTCTCCAAAGACCTGTCTCTCCTTACAACATGTAAAAGTATGTCAGGCGAAGCCCCAGAATCCTTGCCTCCAAGGAGCAGCCTGGTTTAACCCTCTCTAGGATGAATCTATTTGTTTTCTTGGCAGTCCATGGTACATTCAATACTCTTCTCCAGCACCACAGCTCAAAGGCGTCAATTCTCCTTCTATCCACCCTAGTCATTGTCCAACTCTCTGATGCATAACAAGTGATTGCAAAAACCATGGCCTGTATCAGGCGCACCTTAGTCTCCAGAGAGACTTAAAATCAATAAAAAGAATTAAAAAATTTTTAAAAAATTAATTAGCCAGCTGTACTCAGTTTAGATGATCCCAATTTTGTTGGCAACATTTCAAAGCATCGTAGTCAGGAGCTAGTTGAACATAGGCCTTCTTCTCTCCATCAGGCCTGATGAAGGTGTTGACCTTGGCCACATCAGTGTCACAGAGCTTCTTTACAGCTTGTTTGATTTGATGCTTGTTGGCCTTGACATCCACAATGAACACAAGTGTGTTTGTATCTGCTGTCTTCTTCATAGCTGACTCAGTGGTCAGGGGAAACTGGATGATGGCATAGTGGTCAAGCTTGTTTCTCCTGGGGGCGCTCTTCCGGGGGTATCTGGGCTGCCATTGGAGTCTCATCATCTTACGCCGCCGGAAGGTGGGTGACATGCATATCTTCTTTTTTTTTTTTTCGGCTGTGGACGCTCTTCAGGACGCCTTCTTGGCCTTTAATGCCTTTGCTTTGGCTTCAGTTTTGGGAGGCGCAGGGGCTTCCTTCTTCGTTTTTGGTGCCATCTTCATAGAAAGGCAATATGCCAAGTTTTAAATTGGTTTCATTGCTTCTATTTTAAATACTCTTCCATGCCATCCATCCTTTGTCATAGTCCTTAACAACCACAGAACAGCAGCCCATGATTAGGCAGGACTTTCCTTCTCGGTCACTTTTGCAGATACCTACCCACTCCCCTAGTTTCTTGCTGTCATCAACCTTTATCAGGCTGATTTTGGTGTTCAGCCTCTACTGTCTTGACGTACCTCCACTTTTAGACCGCCTCTCCCTTTAAACATTTTTTCCCCAGAGAGGAAGAGCTCTGACTTCCCTTTTAGACCAAGTCTCATGGAAGGCGGAGGGCCTGTCCCATATTAAACTGAGTGCAGCTAGAAGGTGCTTACAATTGTCTAAATAGTTCTATCATTACTGAGTATACCGCCTTTGGTCAAAAACTTCCGCCCTCTTCTCCAGTGGGTTGGCTCATCTGGGAAGAGGGAACAAGAATTCTTTTTTTCTGTGAGGAGCAGGTTGGTTTTGAGATCACCAACATTTTTTTGGAGAGAGCTTGCCACTTCCTGAGGGAGCTCTGTCAGTATCCTCCAGGTAGCAGAGAAGTCTCCATGAGGGACACTTTAGTGACTTCCTACGGAAAACCGCTTTTAGATTCATTTGGTCTGCACCGTTCCAGTCACTCAAAGCCTAATTCCTGCACTCATACTGTGTGCCAGGCTTTGCTCCAGAGCAGAGCTGACTGATACGGGAGCCACTGAACACTACGGTGTCCACTGAGAAGCTGCTAGTGTAAAACACACATCAGTGCTTGAAGACTTAATACAAATAAAAGGAATATAGAACAATCTGATTGGTACACTTTTTGTATAGATTACAGGCTGAATAGGTGCTATTTTGGACATACTGGAATAAAGGGAATATCTTCTTTTGCCAATTATAGGCTCAAGTGTGTCAGATGGTGAGGATGGTACAGGATAGGGCAGACTCATAAGTTCATTCTGAGTCACAGCCAACTCAATGGCATGTAACAAGTGGTGGTGTTGTTGTTATGTGCCATCAAGTCGCCTGCGATGTACAACAGCCCTAAACTCTGTCCTATCCTGTGCCAATCGCATTGTCTACGACACACCCACCCCCATTACCCCACTCACTGAATCAATCCATCTCATCAAGGGTCTTCCCCTCCTGCGCTGTCCCTCCACCCTCCCAAGCATGACATCCCTCTTGAAACATGTCCAAAGTATGTCAGACAGAGCTTCAGAACCCTTGCCTCCAAAGAGCAGCCTGGCTTCACCCTCTCCAGGACAAACCTGTTTGTTTTCTTAGCAGTCCATGGTATATTCAATACTCTTCTCCAGCACCATAGCTCAAAGGCATCAATCCTCTTTCTAGCATCCCTAGTAATTGTCCAGCTCTCTGATGCAAAACAAGTAATTGCAAAGAGCATGCATGGCCTGTATCAGGCGCACCTTGGTCTCCAGACTGACATCTTTGCACGTCAACACTTTAGAGAGGTCTCTAACTGCAGACTTTCCCATCACAATAACTCTTTTAATTCCTGACTGCTGGTGCCAAGAGTGTTGACTGTGGATCCAAGCAAACCAAAACTGTGAACAATCTCAATCTCTTCACTTATTATCAATCTCTTCATTTATTATGATGCTGCCCATTGGCCCAGTGGCGAGAATCATAATAATAAAAAAGATGCTACTTTTGCTAATTATAATACACAAATGTAAAAACTGCCATTAACTTTGCTGGTTTCTTTTTACTTTTTTTTTTTAAATGGGAATACAGAGAAATTGGAAATTACAGGTGCACTTTTTGGGACTGGGAATCCCAGAGTGAATGAATGGGCCAAATCCTTGTTCACGTCCTAGCAGGGAAAACTAATTCACCAAATAGATGTCAATGCTGAAGTCAATGCCAATGTCAGTGATGAAGGGGGGAGCAAGACAGCGGAGAAACTTACACCTGTCATGCACAATGATGACACGTGGGCTGAGAGTTCCACAAAGGTGAGGGATGAACCTGCAGGTGAGGGACCTTCAGGGAACAGTTCAGTCAAAAGACTTCTGTTGTCCCCTTGACTGGCCTCACCAGAGGAAATGTGACAAGGTGCACAGAAAAGTGGGCACGTTAAACCAAACCCAAACCATCACCATTGAGTTAATTCCCACTCTAACTCTACACGAGAGAGCAGAATTCCCCAGGAAAGGCTTTTAAAGCCGTAATCTTTACAGAAGCGGATCAACACGTCTTTTCTCCCTCAGAACCACAAGGTGGGTTTAAATCATTGACCTCTGAGTTGGAAGCCAAGCTCTAGACCACTGCCCCACGAGGACTTCTTAGGTGGGCACTTAATCAAGGTTTGTTCCCATCTCTGGCCTAAAGGGAGACTCAGCCGTCCCAAGCCACTTGTTTATCCAGTGCTCATTCACCCCGAGGGCCCAGCCACCTACTTGCCGCAGCAGGGTCAGCCTTCTGGTCCTCGGGCAGGTCCATGGGCCAACTTCTCAGATCTGTAGCTGTTGGTGAAGCTAAGAGCCTCCGTCCATCACAGAGAGGCCCTGGAGGACATGGACTGCTTTGAGAACACCTGGAAGGAGAACTTTCTCAGTGGCCACTGGGGTGGGGGCCCCCTGCCCCACCTGCGCCCAGGGCTCTCTCTCTAAGTCTCAGAACCCGTCTGCCCACCCCCGCCTCGACTGGTAGCAGCACCTGCTCTGACCTGTTTTATGGACAGGAGGTGTGGGATGGGGAAAATGGGGGTTTGGGGGAGCAGGCAGCAGGGATCCAAGAGGAGCCAGAGGGTGGGTGGGGGGCCCTCCTCATTAATGAGAGACAGCGTGGCCTCTGCATCTCTTGTCATCCCAAGGGCTTCACCCTCTCCCCCTGAACTCCCCAGCATCAAGTCTCTTCTCTCTATTCCTCTCTTCACAAGGCCTGAGAATGGAGAGCTGACCTTCCTCTCTTGCACTCGTTACTACTCTATGGCTTCCCAAGCCTGGGCCTGCCCTTTAAGACCCTGCATGGCTTGGGTCCACTATCCTTCCTGCCTCTCAAGGCTCCAACAACCCAGAACTGCCTTCTATTCACCTTCCCTCAAGCTTTTATCATCAGAAGTGACTCTGTCAGCCCTGCCCGTCTCAGCCTCCAAGTTCTCCTTTCTGAGCAGACGTCTCCTATTATTCCTGCTTCAGGCTGAAGTAGCCGCCATCCCTGGGTCCCCACAAGTGCCATTCTTGCCATCTCTGCCCATATTTGGACCCTTGGCCTTTCCCAGGATTGACCCTGTCTTCTCCCCTGTCCTAAACCTGTCATGGTCCCCTAGCGACCTAAGGGCAAAGTCCCAGCCCCTAAGGCTGGTGTCCAGGACCCAGTAACCCTCCCTCTTTATGCCATTTTTCTTCCCCTTGGCTTATCCCAACGCCAGCCTCTCACTCTCATCATGGTCATTGGTAGCCCAGTGTCTTCAATCCAAATCTTGTCTTTTCTTGGGTCTCCAGCTGGGGGACAGTCCTCCTCGATCCTGGTCACACGGGGGCCCAGTTCCACTCACTGCCTCCCCAGGGAGCACCCTGGGGACCCTAGGAGGGCAGCTGGTACTCCCTCTTCAGTGCTCTGTGCTGAATTCCCTAGACTGCTTGCATTCTACTTATGAATACATAATCGAGGGGCTGGCCACTCTACTTTGCACCCAGAGTGTCAGACAATGAGGTTCACTAGGCCGAGCGGTCAGTGAGACTGTGGCCCGAGCCCTGCTGGTGCCTCTCTGTTCTCACCGGGCAGTGGGGTGTCTCCCTCACCTCCCTTTCTCAAGCCCTCCTGTCCTTTACCAAGGACACCTTTGCTCTCCCTGGTGGCAGTCTGGCTCCACAACTACACGCTCCTCTAAAAGTTGTAGAAAGTTCTAGTAAACTTCTAGGGTTTGGGCAAGTCTCAAGGGGGCTCAACTCACTGACACGACACCTAGAACAACAAGAGTACAAAGGGGACAGGGGCTATGGGGCCTGAGTGGGGGGCCCCTGGCACAGTGGGGGGACACACGCTTCTGAGCAGGTCCTGGGGGCTCTGATCTGATCATGGGGTGCAATGCAACTTTTTTTTTTAACATTATTATTAAATTTTATTAGTTTTAGTGAACATTTACAGAGATTTTGGGTTTTCATTCATTAATTGTTGCACTGGCAATGCAACTTCTAATGCGAGGCTGCAATGGGAGTGGGGGGTCTTAGTAAAAAGTTGGGGCGCTTTCACTGATTTTGGGGGTGTTTCTGACAATTTCTGGGGAATCTCTGTCTTGGGCAATTTCTGATGGGGTTTCTGAGGGTCTTCCTCTGGATTTGGGGACGTCTCTGAACAAATTTCTAGAGAGAGCGGGAAGGATTGTAGAACAAAGAATTTTTCTTTAATTTTCAAAGAGAAGAGTGAACCGGGGTGGGGGGGAGGGGTGGGCAGGGAGAAAAGTGCAACAACGAATGAATGGAAATCCAAAATCTGTACATTTTCATGAAAATTAATAAAAATAATTCTTAGCTACAACATCTACCTAGACTATGGGGTGTCTCATTGAATTTGGGGAGGGGAGTCTGGACAGATTTCTAGGTGTGAGTAGATTTTTCAGGACCCTGGACCAGGATTTTGGGGGAGATAGGAATTCTGATGAATTTAACAGCTTTCTGGGGACCTGCACGATTTGGGGTGAGTCTGACAGGCTTTGAAAGAGACCAGCAGGATTTTTTTTTTTAAATTTTTTTTTGCAGGATTTCAGGCGACACCAATGAGACGGGGTGGGGGGGGCTTCTTTCCCCATTTCTTAGGGGCTTTTGCCAGGAGGTCCAAAGGCCTAACAGGGCTTTGCGGACTGACTACCAGGTCGGAAGGGTTTCTCGGAAAAACCAGGAAAAAACGGGGAAGTCTGATCTGGGAGGGCCTTTGATCCCTAGGACTGTTCTGGGGAACCTCGTCACACGCAGGGCGCACCTGGAACCACGTCCCTGTCTCGGGACACAGTAGAGGATCCAACACGACGAAAGGCCGTTGTTCTGGAAGAAAAAGCGCGTGCAACTTTCCCGCCAGAAAGGAAAAAAAAAACACACAAGCCAAAGGCCTCGGGATGGACACAGCGCATGCGCAGCACACAAGCCCCGCCCACCTCACGTGTAACGCATGTGCGGCACCCAAAGCCCCCGCCCACCCCTAGTGTAACGCATGCGTAGCACCAAAGCCCCGCCCACTCCTTGTGCAGGGCATGAAGGCGCTCCCATGGCTTCAAGTACCTGGCTGTTGCGCATGCGTAGTGGTGGTGGGACGCGCACTGGGCCAGGTGCAATAGGCTGGTTCCCTGTGTTAGTGGAGCCAACGAGGGTCGATCAGCTGGTGGTAGAAGATAGCCAGGCCCATGATGCTGGGATTTTGCTCTGGGAAATGGGCCTGAGCAAGGCCCAGTTGGACTGAGGGATCCTCTTCTCTGTCAAGCGGTGGTTATTATGGCCTCTGATCCATTCTAGGCTCACATCGTCACAATGATGTGCACACACCCACCCACCACCATCACCACCACCTCCCCAACTTTCTCTTCCCATGCCTCACCTCAACCCATGTCCACTCTTGTTGTGGTGCAGGTCGCACGATCCTAACAGGTCATCAAGGAGACTTTTCTTAAACAATTTCCTTCGATCCTTTTAGAAGAGAAAGGATTTCTGGTGGCACAATGGTTTAAGCGTTGCTAATTGAAAGCTGGGTAATCCGAAATCACCAGTTACCCTACAGGAGAAAGATGTGGCAATCTACTATTCCAAATATGAAAGCCTTGGAAACTCTTTTCGATCAGGGTCTTCCTCTTTATCTCTGCCCCTTCTTTATCCAATAATAGGGAGCTCTGGTAGCCTAGTGGGTAAGGAGCTGCACTGCTAAACCAAAAGGAGGTGGTTCTAACCCAACAGCTGATTCTCTGGAGAAAGATGAGCAGTCCTTTCATGTGCAATTTACTGCCTCTGGAAACCCACTGGAGGGTCAGCTGGCGGTCAGTTTCTTCTTGGTGGTACAGTTTGAATGGCAGTTGGTTTGGTTTGAGATATTTTTTTTTTAATTTTTTATTGTATTACTTTTTTACGTGTACCGTCAAATCAGATCTGACTGGTACAGGAGAAGATTGCCCCCTCCTTCTCCACCAGAGCATCTGGTGGATTCGAACCACGTACCTCTGGGATTGCAACACAGCGTCTTGCCACTAGGCCACCGATTATATACATATTATA